CAAAGAACACATTTCAAGGTAGACTTAGGTTCATTTCCATAACAATGTCTAAGTTTTATTCAGCCCTTAAGAATTATTACATTCGTGACATACTTTCATTTCCATCACAATGGCTTTGCACGTAGTACACCCAAATACATCTTTTTTGTTTCTGTGCAAGCATTTTCACAAGGTAGGTATTTTTCTGAGCTTTTTTCTTCCATTTAACATGTGGCAATCATCTTTCATGTTCATATATTCAAGTGCCTTTTATTTTTAAAGGCTGCATATTCTGTAAAATGCGTGATATCTACTTTAACCGCTATTGAACATATTAGAAAGCTTTTAAATATGTGCTACTACAGATAACGCTGCAGGGTGTGTCTTTGCACACTAGAGCAGATAAATCAAAAAGATAGCTTCCTAGAAGTGGAGTTACTGGCTCACAGGTTATGTATACTTTTTACTTAGTACCAAATTACCTTCTAAAAACACTTAAAAATTTTCTACTAGTAGTATATGAAAGTGCCCATTTCCATGTCTGGATTTTGTTATTGACCATTTTATGGGTTCCACAAAAAAGTGCTCACAATTTAATTTACATTTCCCTGTCTACTAGTGAAGTTAAATGTCTTTTCATATGTTGGCTACTTGTGTTTCTCTAAAAATTACCTATTCATATCTCTTTGCCAGTTTTTCTCCTAGGTTGTCTTTTTCTTGATTTGTCACATTTTAATAGATTCTGGATGTTAATTCTTTTCATATACATTTCAAGTACCTACTTCTAGTTTATCATTTGTCCATCAAGTTTCTTTTTTTTTCTTTTTTTGAGACAGAGTCTAGCTCTGTCGTCCAGGCTGGAGTGCAGTGGCACAATCTCTGTCTCCTGGGTTCAAGCGATTCTTCTGCCTCAGCCTACTCAGGCATGCATCACCACACCTGGCTAAATTTGTATTTTTAGTAGAGACAGCATTTCACCATGAGCTCAGGTTGGTCTCAAACTCCTGAGCTCAAGTGACCTGCCTGCTTTGGCCTCCCAAAGTGTTGGGATCATAGGCATGAGCCACTGTGGCCAGCTGCATCAACGTTCTTTGTGGTATCTTTTGCAATTTTTAATTTTTAGGTAGTCAGATCTTTAGTCTTTTGATTTATGGCTTCTCAGTTTTGTTTCTTATTTAGAAAGGGCTTTCCAGTCCTAAAAATTATCAAAATGTTTTCTTCTGATAGTTTTATTTTGCCTTGGCATTTTTTTTTTTTTTTTTTTTTTGAGACAGGGTCTCACTCTGTCACCAAGGCTGGAGTGCAGTGGCTTGATCACAGCTTCAGCTTCCTGGGCTCAGGTGATCCTCTCATCTCAGCCTCACAAGTAGCTGAAACTACAAGTACTTGCCACCACACCCAACTAATTTAATTTTTTTTAGAGATGGGGTCTCACTGTGTTGCCCAGCCTGGTCTCAAACTCCAGGTTCAAGCAATCCTTCCACCTCAGCTGCCCAAATACTTTAGCTTTAAATCCTTTCATTCATCTGTATTTTATTTTGAGGTTGGACAAAGAGTAGTAATATATATATTTTTAATTCTTTGCAACATGATTAAAACCTTTCCAGTTGATTTGAACTGTTACAGTTATAAACTAATGTCGTATATGCATTTGGGTTTATTCTGGATTTTCCTTTGTCCACCAACTTTTAAAATTTATTCCTGTTTCACTGAGATTCTTCTTTTGCATTATCTATTCTATATGAACTTTAGAGTCAGTTTGTGGATTCTATTAAGCATTTTTAAATCTTACTGGGATTTTTGTTTGGATTGCATTTATGGATTCTTTGGGGAGATTGAACGTCTTTATAATATCGAATCTACCATTGTGGACTCCTGCTTGTGCATCTTCTACTCAATCATTTCCTTTTCTCCTACTGTAAGTTTTACAGCTTTTCCCTCTAGCTCCTATACCTTGTTAGACTTATTCCTAGGCATTTTATGGTTTTTATTGATGATTAAGATCGTTTTTTTTCTATTGTCTTTCCTATTGGCATTTGCCTCTAGATAATAAAATTTCATTTTTATATATTTATTTCTGGCCACCTCATTAGTCTTAATAATTTTTCAGTTTATTTTCTTGGATTTTCTAAGTCTACAGTTCTGTCACTTGCAAAAACAATGACAGGCTTTTCTCTCTTTTTTCATTTCTTTTTAGTTAGAGATTTGTATTGTGAAATCCCTGAATCATTAGGGGTTTCCAGGACATGATTTGAGAGCAGCCATAATAAGAGGCATTTTTTATCTTCTTCTTAGTTTTAGGAGGAACATTTCTATATATTTTCAATTAAATTTGATGCTTGCTGTGGATATCTGAGGGAGTCATTTTATCCAGTTAAGAAAACATTCTTCTATTTTTCACTTAGGATATTTTATCAAAATTCAGTGTTCTAGTACATGAAATGTGTTTTTGACATCTATTGAAATTTTTCTTTTTAATCTATTACTACAATTATCTTGAATTTTTTCCCAATTGTCCTGTTTTTTTCTTGGTATAAACACTACCTGGTCATGATATATTCTTTTTACCACCCTTACTACTAAATTTGGTTTTATTTAGAATGTTTATATTCATAAGCAAAATAGACATGCACTTTTTTCCCCCTCCTTTTACTTATGTTTCTCCTTGCTCTGCCATACGTTATATACTTGGGAGCTAGGTGTACCTTGAAGATTTGATAACATTCTCTCATAAAACTGAGTCTGGTGGCCTTAAAAGATGGAATTTTGACTGCCTTTTCAATTTTAATTATCATATTCAAGGACTATGAATATCCTAGCCACTTTTCTCTGATCTTGAACAAGTTACTGATTTCATTGAACCTCAGTTTTGTTCATGGTAAATGGAGATAACAGTATCTAACTCCCAATATTGTCATAAGGATTAAATGAAATTGATTATTTAGCATAGTTTTGTCTCACATATGGTAACTGGTCATCATTAATAACCATTATCATCATTATTCCCTTATGTAGATTACTGTAATGACCTTAGTCATCCCCATCTCTTACGCAGTACAGCTGTAAATTCCACAGTAGACAGAGAGGACGCAAAGATGTGCTAATGGTCCAGCCCACAGTGGTAGTCATCCACTCTATGGGACATACCCTTTGGTGGGTCTAGACCTCTCCCTCAACTAGAGCTTTTTCCCACAGTGCTGTATCTCAGCAGACCTGGCCATGGGCCAGGATACACCACCTGTGTTGCATAAGGGAGCCAAGGCAGAGACTGTATGTGTGCGCCTTGGCCACACCTTCCCTGTCTGGAGCTCATTCTCCACATTAGAATGCTTATGTTAGTTTTTGAAGATTTTTAACTTGAATGGAAAGGTAACTTTTTTAATGTCATTTGAAAAATCAGGATCTTAATATATAAGTGGTGGGAAGGCAGTCTTTACATGATTGGTCAAACATTCCATGAGTTTTGAGGAAATAATCAGATCTGTCTCCTTTTGAAAGGAGGATAAAACGTTAGGCTGAGTTAAATGTATAATGTAGAAAATGGAGACTTGTTGCATTCTCATCAACAAGCAGAATATGGTGTTTTCCAGTCTTCTACTACTTCACAGTCCTTCATCTGATATTTAAAATGTATTTATGTTGAGTCATTTCTTTTTCTCTTGCTGGTGAACCAGAAGATCATGAAATGATTCTACAGAGGCAGTAGCATTATGTTCAGTTTCTTTTTTTGTATGCATCAGATAAGAGGCCTGCAAATGGAAGTAAGTTGCCTCACATCCTTTGTAGGGTGATCGCAGTAATGTTTGCCTTCTTACCACTGGCGCAACATTTATTAGTTCATAAACCCCCTTCCAAAGAACCTAAGGGCTTTTTGGTGAAAGGTGACTGTGGTGGGAACAGTGTTAGGTTTTGACAGGCTACTTTTGTTTTTACAAACATTTCTTCTCTTTAATAGTTTAGAAACTATTACCTTAAAAGAGAATTGAGGACAGGGACATGACTGGACTGAGTGGAAGTTAGTGCTTAGAGTTAGGATTTAGAATATAAATATGGAAGTTAATATTTAGAATTAGGATTTCTGAATCTGTGAATAGAAAGGTAAAATAAAATTTTGAGGTCATTTCAGCTTAAGCCTCTAAATTGTTCTCACTGAACCAAAGCTTCCAGTTGGCAAAAATCTAAGATCTGAGGAATAAGAATAACATAAGAAGCTGGCTTTTGGTAAACCTTAATAGTAATAGAAGAGGGACAAGGGGGCAATTCCAGAGATTCTCCCCTCCCCTTTAACTCCCTCTGGTCCACTCAACAGGCCTTCCTGTGACCTGTGAGTATCAGTGGAAGCAGTCCCTCCAATAAGTTACCATGGCCTAAGAAAAAAGTCTACTAAAAAATTACGTTCCCATGGCCGGGCGCAGTGGCTCATGTCTGTAATCCCAGCACTTTGGGAGGCCGAGGTGGGCGGATCACGAGGTCAAGAGATGGAGACCATCCTGGCCTGGCCAACATGGTGAAACCCTGTCTCTACTAAAAAAATACAAAAATTAGCTGGGCATGGTGGTGCGCACCTGTAGTCCCAGCTACTCGGGAGGCTGAGGCAGGAGAATTGCTTGAACACGGGAGGCGGAGGTTGCAGTAAGCTGAGGATTGTGCCACTGCACTCCAGCCTGGCGACAGATGAAGACTCTGTCTCAAAAAAAAAAAAAAGTACGTTTCCTGAAGTTTTCACAGTATTTAAGTATTTACTTAAAGGAGTATGTGTTGTATCTTTGATAGTGAATATGGAGAAGGGTAACCCTCGATCACTAGAAATAAGCCTGCCAATTTTCAGTATCAGTCAAGCAGCAAAGTTTTGGTGCTATTTATTTTTTCTAGCTCTTACTATATATTCTTTTACCATTGAAAATATTGAGGAAGTTGTTTATATTTTTGTTATATACATTATAAATTTTATGTATTTTAATATTACTATTACACATAATCATATATCTTTTATATAAAGTACAAATGTCTTCTTTTTTCAGAGCAATAATGAAGTTTCACAGTATGAAAATGGAAGAAATCAATAAAATTATTCGTGATCTGTGGCGAAGTACCTATCGTGGACAAGGTGAGTACTGTGGTGTATCACAAATGCTCTTTCCAAAGCCCTCTCTGCAGCTCTTCCCCTTGTGACCTCTCATCATGCCAGCATTACCTCCCTGGACCCCTTTCTAAGCATGTCTTTGAGATTTTTTCTAAGAACTCTTATCTTGGCAACATCTTGTAGCAAGAAAATGTAGTTTTCTGTTCCAGAGCGTAACAGGACTTACATATTTGGCTGCAGTAGGTATTATATTTAGCTGATGACATAATAGGTTCTGTCATAGTGTAGACAGGATAAGCCAAAATGTGATAAGAAACCATCAGAAGGAAACTTTTTTTTTTTTTTTTTTTGAGACAGAATCTCACTCTGTTCTGTCACCCAGGCTGGAGTGCAATGGTGCGATCTTGGCTAACTACAGCCTCCGTCTCCTGGGTTTAGGCGATTCTCCCACCTCAGCCTCCTGAGTAGTAGATGGGATTACAGGCATGCACTGCCATGCCTGGCTAATTTTTGTATTTTTAGTATACAAAAATGGGGTTTTTTTTTTTTAGTATACAGAGATGGGGTTTCACCATGTTGGCCAGGCTGGTCAAACTCCTGACCTCAGGTGATCCACCCGCCTCGGCCTTCCAAAGTACTGGGATTATGGGTGTGAGCCAGCGTGCCTGACCTAGAGGAAACTCTTAACAGGGAAACTAAGAAGAGTTGAGGCTGAGGGCTTGGGCATCTGGGTTGCTTCTGGCCAGACCACCAGGCTCCTGAATCCTCCCAGCCAGACAAACAGGTTCTACGCCAGCCAATGTTTTCCCCGGTAATGTCAGCCTCATCTGTTGTTCCTAGGCTTACTTGATATGTTTCTAAATGACAAAAGACTGCAGAGCATAGGTTCCTCTAAAATATTCTTCTGTGTCAGATATTGAATACATAGAAATACGGTCTGATGCTGATGAAAATGTATCAGCTTCTGATAAAAGGCGGAATTATAACTACCGAGTGGTGATGCTGAAGGGAGACACAGCCTTGGATATGCGAGGACGATGCAGTGCGGGACAAAAGGCAAGTATCTGAAAAGCCTGGGGAGCCAACTCACCCAAGTAACTAGAAGAGAGAAACAGTGCAGTGGAAGCGCCCAAGGCTACACCTGAATGGTGGGGAGCTCTTTGCTGCCACATAAAATGAATCAGACTCAGCTACTGTTATTACACTCTCCTGATGTTAACCAACATTTCCTGCAACGTTATGTAAAGTAGACTTTTCAGAGAAGGGCCTGTAGCATTCTCACAGGATAGGCTAAATGTAGGACAAGAAGCTGAAGACCCTTTAGTATTTTCATGGCACTCTTTATCAGAATAAGGTCACTGTATCACGAATTATAACATGCACCACTATTTTATGTGCCTGCAGGAATGAAAAAATGCAATTATAACCATAAGATGTTTCAGAATCAATGACATAATAGTACTGCAAACCAGACTAGCTTAAGCCAGAATGTAGCATTCCACTATATGAGGGAGTCTCACTAAGAAAGTAGCCCCTCATAGGACTAAGTCCCTACCACCACATACACAAAAACTTAGCTGCTGGGTCAGTCCAGCTGGCATCAGGTGAGGCTCTGGGAGGACAGCCTACATTGGAAATCAGGAAGAGAAATGACGTTTTAAAGAGTCAGGAATATGGCATCCTCAGGGAAAAAGGCTGGGTCCTTCTTTGTGCACAGGTTTATAACAAAAATGTCACAGATTCTTGAGCTTTCTGCTTTTAGATTAAGGCAGAAGATTAACTCCTCTAGGTCCTTGATTTTCTTAATAAAATTCTAAAATCATAGAAATAGATGCTCACATTATCTATGTTATTTCCATAGTTTGCAATTTTTGCTTAAAGAACATGTCATGTGGCCAGGCATGATGGCTTGGCTCACACCTGTAATCCCAGCACTTTGGGAGGTGGATGGATCACCTGAGGTCAGGAGTTTGGGACCAGCCTGGCCAACATGGTGAAACCGTCTCTGTATTAAAAATACAAAAATTAGCTGGGTGTGGTGGCAGGTGCCTGTAATCCCAGCTACTTGGGAGGATTCACTTAAACTGGGGAGGTGGAGGTTGCAGCGAGCCAAGATTCCACCACTGTACTCCAGCCTGGGCAACAGAGCAAGATTCCGTCTCAAAAAAAAAAAAAACATGCCATGCCATGCATATATGTATAATGTTGTCAGGTAGACAGCTGATACCAATTTAAAGCATCTGCAGATTACTATCTAAATCATAGTCTATAAAAATGACAAACTTGTGACCTATAATCAGTGTCACTACTGGCTTTGGTGATTTTTAGTGGTAGTGATAAATGAGAAAATATCAAGTTTGAAACATGGTCTCACTGGATTAAAAATACCTTCAGAAATACCTTGAGGAAAACGATTTTCTGTAGCTATTCTGAGTTAATGAAAGTTTATTAGCAGTTATTGCTTCCTTGGTGTGAGGGGAGAGAACAAATAGTTTGGTGAAGGTGGGTCTCCATCCTACCTACTGGCTTTTGCTGAGGCCCTAGAAGCCAGCCAGTGGCTCTGCGTGTGAGTGGGTGGTGGTAGAGTTGACAGCAGTTTGGATTCAAAGACAGGAAGGAAATGCCTGTCCCTCTAAGGGCCAAGCTGTGGCCGTCTTCTGCAATCTGCTGGTTTGCCTAGGCATCAAAGAAAAGATGTAAACTATTCTAAAATCACCAACTCACAGATACACTCCCACCCACAAATTCAGGGGGAAGGGGGACTTACAGCTCACACCAAAGTAGTTTCTACTTTCCAGAATAGCCCTACACTCTCAATGCTGTGTGTCTGGTATCCTCAGATGGCTTGCATCTGAGGGTTTTAGTATTAAGTTTCTAGTAACCATGAAAATGCCTAATCCAAGTTCCAGTTACTTGGATTTCCTACAGGTAAGCTTAACTGAAACCACATTTCTGTACTCCACATTTCTGATACTTTGACCCAGGATTTTTAGTCTCTCACTCTCAGAATTATACACAAGAACATGGAAATTTAAAGGTGGATGAGAAAAAGTGAGAGGCTCTAGAAAATGTGTCCAGATTTTCTCACAGATCTCATTATCAGGAAAATAGCCAGGTCAAGAATTTTTAAGGTTGTTGCTCCTACAGCTTTATTAAAATTATTACAGATAGCTGGCATTGTCTCTTTTTCTAGTCTGTGGTCTCAAGTTGGTTGCAGCTGATGTAATTTTTTGTGTGGGGGCATCAGCATTGCTCTGAGCATTTTGTTTTGTAGTGAATGATCATGCAGCTGGTGGTTCTCCTTCTAGAGGATGTAAGAATCTGGTCCCAGTGCTGGGCTCTTCCTAACAGTGAACCCGTGACGTAGTGAACCTGTGATGTTTCCCACTTTTTCCTGCTATAAAGATCATGTCAGGACTGCTTGCCTGCCATGAGATGAGAAGGTCTGTGCTATGCTTCTCTCACAGGGGCTTTTTTCCAGGTATTAGCCTCACTCATCATTCGCCTGGCCTTGGCTGAAACGTTTTGCCTCAACTGTGGCATCATTGCCTTGGATGAGCCAACAACAAATCTTGACCGAGAAAACATTGAATCTCTTGCACATGCTCTGGTTGAGTAAGTATCTCACATTTGGGACAGGTTGTGATCGTTTTTCAAGATGAAGAGAGTTCTGTGGTGAAAACGTTCTCTAGTTGTATTCCCCACTTCTTGGGGAAGCCAGTTGGTGCCAGGCCCTGGACTTTACCTTTTGATAGTAATTTTTCAGATCACTCCTCAAGGAACTAGATGGTGAATAGCAGCCCCAAATACATCCTACAGCTTCCCAAGTGTTTTCACGGCGAGAGAGTCACTGTGAGGGGTTCCTGGCCTGGTTTGGTTTTCCTGTAAGCCTACCAGAGGAACCCACATGTCATGTACAGCTAGTAGCATGCCCTGCTAAGACATCTGTAGGTAGTGGTAGTGGGTTTAGGACTGTCTCTTCAGCTTTCCACATGTCAGACAACTGTGAGGAATGACAGAGTTCTTACCCGAAAAGCTTTTCAAGATTAGATAAAATCTGTAAAATTACACACACCTTTTACCACATTCACCTGAGTTGGGTACAGACTGCAAGGTTGTCAAGCAGCTCTTGTGTAAGGACTATGCTGACAGAGAAAAAGGCACTTTCCCTGAGGTCAAAGAGGTGTTTCAGGTACTCCTGGCTCTAGACAGACCCTTTCTGGAAGAGATAGCATGGGTCAGGCCAGAAGGAGAGCTGAGCAGCACAGGGCCACCTTTCTGCATCTATCACAAGTAAGGGCGGGTGCTTTTGAAACCTCAAGTGCATCCAGCTCCAGGAAGGGGATAAGTAAGTGGCTAGCTAAAAGAAAAAGTCTTTCAGGTTTCAGTCACATTGCTGGTTACCTCAGCAAAATGTTCCCAGAACACCCACTCAGGTCCCTGTGTGTCATAGTAATGATGCATCTAGTGACTGGTGGTGGCAGAATTCTAAGTAGACCCAGCTCTTAAGAAAGCAATGTTATTCCCCTTACCTGTAGCTTGTCTTTATTACTTTTAAATTTTTCTTCCAGAGAAAAGTAGTAACAGGTCAGGAAAATCCCAGGCGAAGGAATAAGCTTTTTAAAGTTGAGTAGTTTGGGCATTAAGGAAAAGTCAGTTAATTACAGTGAGACCTTCTGGTCTGGAAGAAACTAGTTCTTGTATTCTTACCAGTCCCTATGCCAAACCTAAGTGAGGAGTCAGGCCATGCGTCCCTACTGTCGGAGAGGAGATGAGACTCCTGCCTGGCTGGCCTGAAGGCATGGGGCCACCCCTCCACTTCCTGCAGGGTAGCTGGGGCCCTGACACAGCACAGAAAAAGCTTGGTTGTCACACACAGCTCAAGTTCATGTGTCTAACAAGGTCTGCAGTGACTTTTCAAATAAAAGAAGGGGTTATGCTCTATAATAATAATATGTTCTAAATATATTGTTTCAGGATAATAAAAAGTCGCTCACAGCAGCGTAACTTCCAGCTTCTGGTAATCACTCACGATGAAGATTTTGTGGAGCTTTTAGGACGTTCTGAATATGTGGAGAAATTCTACAGGATTAAAAAGAACATCGATCAGTGCTCAGAGATTGTGAAATGCAGTGTTAGTTCCCTGGGATTTAATGTTCATTAAAAACATTCAAGACCTAACTGCCATAGTAATGTAGGTCCTCAGAAAGTATATAAGAAGCTAATTATTTCTGATATCACGTGAGTCAATAAGAAAATATGTTCTTTCAAAGGAACATTGGTCTAGGATTTTGGACGTTGAGAGGTTCTAAAATCATGGAAGTTGTTTTACGGAAAATTGGACGATTCCCTGTTTCTGATTCCCTGCACTTCATCCCATTCCAGCAAGCCTCTGACAGGCCTTCAGGATCCAGCAGCACAGCTGAGACTTGACTCTGTGCTTCCCTCCCCAGTGCAAATGCATGCTCCTTCTCAAAACACTGTTGAGGAGGAGATAATTACTGCCTTGAAAGTTTATGGTTTTGGGTTTTTTTGTTTGTTTGTTTAAAACAGAGTTAAATGTTACCTCTGAATTTATTTCCTTGCATGTTGTCTGAAAAACTGAGTATTAGAGCCTAGTCCTTTTAATAACAATAACTGTACCCCTCCAAGATCCCAGTTTTAAGCATCTCACTCTCCAATAATCCCTTGGTGTCTGCAGTTCTCCTGCAGTCCTCAACCCCAGTAATTCTTTGACCCCACTGAAATTTCAATCCATTGACTGTTTCTTTTTCACAGGTCATTTCCCTCATGCATGTACTTCTTATTCAACTTCAATTCCATGGCCCGTCATTATGTCACCCTCCGCTTTATTGTCCTCAAATTCTCATGACAACCCCCCCAATGGAATCCACCTGTGCCTCCCTGCAAACCTGCACATGCTGTTTCCTTTGCCATTTCCTCTTCATTTCCCTGGCCCTTTGATGTCACGGGGTTTTAGTATTTTAGTACTCAGAGTCTGCTCCTTTCTTCTCTGTGTTCACTTACTTAGTGATCTCATCCAGTCTCATAGCTTGAAATTATCTTAGTTCAGGTTCTCTTGGAAGCAGAACCTAAAACAATGCTTCACGTGAAAGTAATCAGTAGGAAATTGGGGAAATTGTGTACAAAAGAGAAAGCAACCAATGAAAGGTTTACTGTTAAACCAGCTACAGTGGTGGGCAATTGGAGTTTATCTGGCATTATCCTTGATTCTTTATCTCATATCTAATTCATCAGTTTAATACAATGGGTTCAATTTTCAAAACACATCCAGAATCTGACCATGCCTCACCATTAAAACCAGTGGTCCTCAACCTTTTTGGCACCAGGGACCAATTTTGTGGAAGACAATTTTTCCATGGATGGAGACAGGGGAGTTTGGCAAAATACATACCTCAGAATTATCCCACCTGAGGGGCAACAGACATGGAGTATTTATACAACTTCCCAGAGTTACTGAATGAGGGTTATTCTAGCACGTGTTACAGTTATTGGCTGGCCATATGTACCAGCAGAGCTGCTTACCACAGTTTAAAAAGAAAAAAGCAGCCTGAGCAACATAGTGAACCCCCATCTCTACATAAATTTTTTTTTAAAAATTAGCAAGGCATAGCGGCACACACCTCTAGTCTCAGCTACTCAGCTGAGGTGGGAGGATCCCTGGAGCCTGAGGGGTCAAGGCTGCAGTGAGCTGTGATTTGTGCCACTGCACTCCAGCCTGGGTGGCAGAGTGAGACCCTATTAAAAAAAAAAGAAAAACCAGATAGCAGCAGCTAGAAGTTGGCAGGAGCACACTGGCAGTTCTTAGAATCATAGGGTATAGGCAGGGCACTGACAGCTCTTACAACCACCATCTATACACTGATTACTCATAAATGTTTGTCTCCAGTCCAGATCTCTCCTAGATGCTTGACTGATATGTTCAGCTGCCGGTGAATAACTGGATGTCTGTTCCCACTTGAATATCTAATAAATATCTACAACTTAAAATGACCAAAACCAATCTTTCTCCCAGCACTCACATCTCTTCCATAGGCTTTCAACTAATGGCAATTCCATTATTCCAGTTGCTCAGGCAAAAATTCTGGCATTATCCTTGATTCTTTATCTCATATCTAATTCATCAGTTTAATACAATGGGTTCAATTTTCAAAACACATCCAGAATCTGACCATGCCTCACCATTAAAACCAGTGGTCCTCAAACTTTTTGGCACCAGGGACCAATTTTGTGGAAGACAATTTTTCCATGGATGGGTGGGGTGAGGGGGATGATTTTGGGATGAAACTGTTCGATCTCAGATCATCAGGCATTAGATTCTCATAAGGAGCATACAACCTAGATCCCTCACATGCAAATTTGCAGTAGAGTTTGCACTCCTGTGAGAATCTAATGTTGCCACCAATCTGGTAAGAGGTGGAGCTCATGCAGTAATGTTCCCTCACCTGCCCACTCACCTTCTGCTGTGTGATTCCTGCTGTGCGATTCTGTTTCTACCAGGCCAAGGACAGATAATGGTCTGTAGTCCAGGGGTTGGGAAGCCCTTATCTAAACCATCATTGCTCTGGTCCAAGCCACTGCCATCTCTAACCTGAATAATCTGAATGACCACATAACTGCTCCCACTGATTTAGGGCCTGCTCCCCATAGTTCTCAACACAGCAGCCAGTGATCTTTTTAAAAAGTAACTCAAGAAAATGTGTTTCTCACAGGGGTGTGGGTTAGCAATTCTGAAACTTTTATGTATATACTAAAGCCAAACAAATATATACCTGTGTTGTAGATAATACGAATGTAGTTTCTCACTGTTGGAAAAAGATGTTTGCATATCAGGAAAAGAAGGAATAAAAAGAACCCTGTGGTGTTAACTGAATCCAAAGGTTAAATTTATAATTTTAGTATATAAAAGATTTCTACTTCCATAAGGGTGGAGTAAATACCATCCAAAATCTCCTTCATAAAAGCAACAGGACTGGCAAAAATGTCAAAATCAACCTTTTCAGAACTTTGAAATTAACCAATGGCTAGCTACAAGCCAAGGCATGTTTATTAAAGGAAAACAGCATCTCCGTAAGAACAGAAAGTGGCATTTTAAGTTGGCCTAATCCCATGCCCCTCTTCCTTGTTCCATGGTAGCCTTGAAAACCAATAGCCTTCTTAGTATCTGTGAAAACCAGCAACCTAGTAACCATTGGAGGAGGCAGAATGGATCTGGAGGCCCCCCAGATCTCCAGTGCCAGAGAACTGCCTCTATTTGACTTGTCTGGCAGCTCACTGAAAAGCTCCATTTTCAGGACCTGTCTTTATTTGACTTAGAGCCCACTCTGAAAGCAGCCCTTCCTGCAGGATAATCAGTGGCAACTGGTTAACACTGTGGCTGCCCTAGGCAGCGTTACCAGATGGGGCTAACAAAAGGCTGACTAATAAAAAGAAAAATCTGGGGAGATGTCCCTGGAGCTTTGATGAGCTCAAGCATATTCCTGGGAATCTAGAAGTCCATATGCATGTGCAGGGAGTATGCATGTCCTAGGCTCTCATCTCTGGCTAACCTTGAAACTCAATTCATGCCAGAAATGAAAATAAAGGCAGTTGACACAACAGTGACATGACTAATATCTATTAGTTTATGCCCTAGGCTGAGTAGAGACTTCAGGAGTCAAACATGACAGGGTATAGAATTTACAGAATTAGTCCAGGAAATTCACAGAACCAACAGCAGCAACAATAAGAAATACTAACAGGTGAAAACCTTGGAGAGAGGGTAATCTGACTTAAATAATTGATATAATATTTAAAACAAGACACACAACAGAAACATGACACATACTATACACAGCAATTTAAAAGGCAGTCAATAGAAACAATCTCTGAAGAAGCCCAGATGTTAGACTTAATAGACAAAGACTTTAGGTATCAGCTATTATAAATATGTTTGAGGAACTAACGGAAATGACGTCTAAAGAATTAACTTATGAGACTGATGTTTCACCAAATTATTGGGACTAACAGTAATGAGGCAGACATTATAAAAAAAGAACCAAATGGAAATTCTGGAGTTGAGAAATACAATAATGGAAATAAAAATTCACTAGATGGGACTCAGCAGCAGGTTTGAACTGACAAAAAAGTTGAAGACAGGTCAATTGAGATTATGCAGTCTGAGGAATAGAAGAACGAAGAAAAATTAAGAGCTTCAGAGACCTTTGAGACACTATCAAGTGTACCAAAATACCAGGTATACCAATCATGAGAATCCCAGAATGGGGGGAAAAAGGAGCAGAAAGACTATTTGAAGAAATAGTGACCCAAAACTTTCCAAATTTTATGAAAACATTAATCTTCGTATCCAAGAAACTAAACAAACTCCCAAGTAGGGTAATCTCAAAAGGAATCATATTTAGATGCATCATGGTCAAATTGTTGAAAAAGATGCCAAAGAAGCAAATAAAGCTAAGAACTGAATTCTCATAAGAAATAATGCAAGCTTGAAAGCAGTGAAATGACATATTGAAAGTGCTGAATTAAAAAGACTATTAACCAATAATTCTTTTTGCAGTGGTGCAAACATAGTTCACTGTAGCTTTGAACTCCTGGGCTCAAGCAATCCTCTTCCCTCAGCTTCTTAAATAGGACTACCAACATGTGCCACCACACTTTAAAAAAAAATTTAAAAAAGTTGGTTTTTTGTTTCATTTGTGTGTGTGTGGTTTTTTTTTTTTTTTTTTTTTTTTTTTTTCTTTGTTTTTGTAGAGACAAGGTCTTGCTATCTTGCCCAGGCTGATCTTAAGCAGCCTTAGTCTGAAGCAGTCCTCTCACCCTGGCCTCCCAAAATGCTGGGATTAAGGTGTGGGCTACTGCCCAGTCTCAAACAAGAATTCTATATCCAGAAAAACTGTCTTCAAAACAAGAAAAATGAAGACATTCCCAGGTAAACAAATACCGTGGTCTTCACCAGACTTGCTCTACAAGAAATATAAAAGGAGAATAAAGGATAAAATGAAACAACTCAAATGCACATGAAGAAATAAATATAGGTAATATAAAAGTATAAATGTATTTTGGGGTGTAACTTTTCCTATATGATTTAAAGGCAACTGCATTAAGAATTTTAACACTGTTGATGGGCTTACAATATATATAAAGATATAATTTATATGACAATACTACAAAATAGTGGGAACAGGGCTATAGAGGAACTTTTGAAATGGAAATTAAGTTGACATTCATTTAAATTAAGATGTTCATTTGTAATCCCCAGGGTAACCACTAAGAAAATAACAAAAAAACCTATAGTAAAAGCAAGACAGTTATTTAAAGAGGGCCCAATGTGATGATAACCTGGTAATAATGAGGACACCTAGTTCCAAGACCTTGATTTTTAAAGCACCCTCTTCAATAAAAGGAACTCTGGCTCCTTGGAGAAGTGGTTGGTTTCAGGGCTGAGGCAAGGAAAACACAAAATAAGCCTAGAATTTCTGTGGTGCCAGAAATTAAAATATTTACTTTAAAAAAATGGTGGAGTTTGTTCAAAGAATACAGAACCCAACCTGAAGTAACTCGCAGTGATCAAAGGCAGAACAGTTTGAGAAACAATACAGTATTGGATTATAGCTCAGAGTGAAATAAATATTTGTAAACTTTTATGGCTATACACAAACACTTTAAAAAAATGAAGGACGAGGACAACACTTCTTTATAAAATTACAATAAATGTAGAAGGGAAAAAGAAAAATCTTCACTAGGTAAATACAAAAATCATTTCAGACGAGTCACTGATGAAGCTAATACTAGTAGGCACAAATCTGAGAAAAAAATTATATAATCTCAAACTTTCCCAATATTTTTAATAACTAAAAAGGGAAAGACAGTAACTTTATCATGGAGGAACCTAACAGAAACCATCTTAACCTTAAGTGGTCAGGGTCAACATCACCAATAAGAAGATATGGACATCATGAACCTTGTGACCTGATATGGTGAGAAGACCAACTTCATCTTTGTGAAAATGAAGAACCTCAGTGCAATTAGGAGAAAACCCTGGGGGGACCAAACTGAGGAACATTTAACAGCACAACTCATCAGTATTCCTGGAAAATGTAAGGGTTATGAAAGTCAAGAGTGAGGAACCATTATAGACTGTAGGAGACCAAAGAGAATTAACTAAATGCATTGTGAGATCCTAGGCTGATCTTGAAACTGAAAAAGGACATGAGTGGAAACACTGGTGAGATTAGAATAGGATCCATAGTTTACTTAATCCATGCTCATTTTTCTGGTTTTGGTCATTGCACTATGATTATGTAATGTGTGACCATTGTGAGAAGCTGGGTGGGGGGGAATATGGAAAATCTGTACTATTTTTGTAGCTTTTCAATAAATCTCACATTAATTCAAAGTTTTTTTTTTTTTTTTTTAAGAAAAAAGCTAAATCAAGTCATTGTCACTCCTCTGTTCAAAACCTCCAGTGGCTCCCTCTGTCACTCATCATGAAATCCTCAGTCCTCTCAATGGCTTACCAGGCTCTCTATTCTCTGGGCATATTTCTCTGACAGTATCGTCTCCCATGCCTCCCCTCACTCCTGGCTTTCCTTGCTAATTCTCAGCACCATGGGCATTTTCCTGCTTTGGTGCTAGGACTTCAGTGTATGTTTCCTTCCAAAATTCATATATTGGAACTTAACCCCCAAGGTGATGGTATAAAGGAGTGGGACCCTTAAAAGGTGATCCGGCCATGGAGGAATGGGATTCATGCCCTTGTAGAAGGCGTGAGGGAGAGAGTTTTTCCCTTTGACCCTTCTACCATGTGCGGAAGCAGCAAGAAGGCACCATTTTGGAAGCAAAGAGCAGCCCTCAACAGACACCAATTCTGCTGAAACCTTGATCTTGGATTTCCCAGCCTCCAGAACTGTAAGCAATACATTTCTATTGTTTATAAATTACTCAGTGTTGGATATTCTGTTATAGCAGCATGAACAAAATTAGAAAATGGCCTTTGCTCTTGCTTGTGCCTTCAGCTTGGAAATGTCTTCCCCCAAATATCTGCACAGCCAGTTCCTCTTGTCCTTTTGCTCAAATAACACCTTAGTGAAGCCTTAGGGTGCCATACCATACATAATAGTGCACTCACTCCATTCTACTTGCCCTGTTTTTTTTCTCTCTCCACTGCACTTTCCACTGTCTAACATACGATATATCATGTAATTGTTCATTACCTCCACCCACTAGAATGTATCTCCCAAGAAGACAGGGACTGTGTCGTTTTGTTTAGCCCTACATAGTAGGCACTCAATAAACATTTACTTAATGATGTATGAACTTATTATGGGAATTATTTGTAATTGTCTTCCAGGGGTTGGCACAGAAACGTATTAGATTAAGCAATAGGCTGCGCAGTGGCTGATGCCTGTGATTCCAGCACACTGGGAGGTCAAGATAAGAGGATCACTTGAGCAAAGGAGTTCAAAACCAACCTGGGCAATAGGAGAAGGTTGGTGCTACTATGATTTGAGTGGTTATGAAGTGGGAGTTTATGTTCATTCCATTGTTTTTGCGTGGAATTTATATTTTTAATTTAGAGAATTTATAAACGAGACAAGCAGTAAGAGGCAAACACTTATCTTGAGCCTCTTTGACCTTGTATTAGTTAAACCTCGGTATTTAAAGGTTTAACCCTAGCTCTACAAAAAACATTTAAAAATTAGCCACTGTGTATGGGTGTGATGGTGACCTGTAGTCCCAGCTACGCAGGAGGCTGAGGTGAGAGATCACTTGAGCCCAGGAGGTCGAGACTACAGTGAGCCGTGTTTCCACCATTGCTTTTCAGCCTGGGTGTCAAGAGTGAGACCCTGTCACATCAAAAAAGTACTAATAAATAAAATATGTCAGCAGAGCACAGTGGCTCACATCTGTAATCCTAGCACTTTGGGAGGCCAAAGCAGGCAGATTGCTTGAGCCCAGGAGTTTGAGACCAGCCTAGGCAACATGGTGAAACCTGGTCTCTACAAAAAAACACAAAAATTAGCCAGGTGTCGTGGCTCGCCTGTAGTCTCAGTTACTCAGGAGGCTGAGGTGGAAGGATTGCTTGTGCCTTAAAGGCAGAGGTTGCAGTGAGCCAAGATGGTGCTACTGCACTCCAGCCTACGTGACAGAGCAAGAATCTGTCTCAAAAAAAAAAAAAAAAAAAAGTTGTTTCACTTTTATTTTAGGAATAAGGTACTTAACCTGCACATATCCACATACTAGCATGACAGATACCAAAATGTTGCAGTGATTATTATCTCTTGATGCTGGGGTTATGGGGCTTTTTATTTCTTTGCATATTTGTAATGTACACAGAAATGTTTTTGTGTAATCTTTTTTTAAATGCAGAATACCGACATTGGAGAATGCTCTTCATATATTTGAAGTGAAAAAAGAGCAATAACTATATAATGAGTTAACCCATTTTTGTAACAAAATATAAATGTGCATAGCAAAGATACAGAGGTATTATAGTGCCAGGGCAAAGGGGTGCAAGATTAGTGTTTGCTTATTGCTTGTTTATAAATTCTATACATTAAATTAGAATTCCAAGTAAAAACAATGGAATAAACACAAACTCCCACTTCATAATCAACTAAAATGACAGTAACTAAATTTTCTAGTTTTAAAACCACCAAAATGGGAGAAAGAGACAACAGAACCAGCGTTTGAAAGGTGGAAAGTGGATGGGCAGTGAGCAGATTACTTGGCTAACCCAAGAAAACTGAATCCTAGTCCAGCTGAGACCTATGCTGACTTACAGAATCCCGAGAATGCTCAGGGAGAAGACCACGGACCTTGGGAGGGAAAGGGGTATAAATAAGGAAAGTTGTTGAAACTCAGTTTAAGAAGCAGTTAGATACCCATTTTTGTTCCTCAAAGTTGAGTGACCCTCCTATCTCTGGATAGGATATCTGGACCAAGAAACACCAGACACAGTGGAGGGCAGCAGAAATATGCTGAAATCAGAACAGTCAACAGATGCTGAGGTCCCCACCCCAGCCCTCTCTCCACCCTTGCTGCTAGAATGCTGGGGACAGGGAGAATCATTTCTGGGCAAGCTGACCTGCCTGCCAAAAAACAACAAAGAAACTGGCACAGAAGGTTCCCCAAGTGAAACAGTCAGCCACCCGCCCTATAGCAAACAGCCCCCTCCCACACATTTACCCTCAGAGCTTCCTATCTGCTTTAACATGCGTAGGCAATCCAGGATCACCTAACATGCAAGGAAAGCCTGTAACATGAAAAAAAAAAATTTTTTTTTTTGAGACAGGGTCTGGCTCTCTCACCCATTACTGAGTGCAGTGGTGTGATCACAACTCACTGCAACTTCAACCCCCTGAGCTCAACTGATCCTCCCACCACAGCCTCCCACATAGCTGAGACTGCAGGTATACACCACCATGACTGGCTAAGGTTTTTTTTATGTTTTGTAGAGATGGAGTCTCCCTATGTTGCCCAGGCTGGTGTCAAACTCCTGGGTTCAAGCGATCAGCCTCCCAAAGTGCTGGGATTACAGGTGTGAGCCACCACGCCCAGCTCAAAACAATTTTTTAAAGAAAACTTGGAGATAATACTGTACAAAAAAGGAAACTTAGAAGATATCTCATCAATGAAACAAGAATGCAGTGTTGTTAGTGTGTATATGCACACACTCAGAGAAGAATAAAATACCCTCAGGAAAGCTATGAGACTATCCCAGAGGAGAGAAATTTTTTTTAAGTGAAAAACAGAATAAAAAGAAAATTCAGGCACCAGTCCAAGGGGTATATAGTCAAAAAATGTCAGTTCCAATAAGAGAGAAGAGAGAGAATGGAGAAGGAAAAGTCATAAAATGTCCCAATCTAAGTGTGAATACAAAAATATATTACTTTTATAAGTGGGAAAAAAACTGTGTGCAAAAGTGTATATGATGCCACCTCACCTGTAGGGACAAGGGAAAATAAGACCACACATCCACAGTTGCTTGTATTTACATACGCTCTGATAGGATACCAAAAAACAAACAAAAAACACCTAAGAAAAATTGATTTGTGAGGGAAGTTGGAGACATTGCACTGAATTTTTTACATACACAGTTGACTCTTCAACAGCACAGTTCTGAACTGTGCAGATCCACTTATCCACAGATTTTTCTCCTGCCTCTGCCACCTCTGAGATGACAAGACCCCCTCTACTTCCTCCTCCTTGGCCTGCTCAATGTGAAGATGGTGAGGCTGAAGACCTTTGTGATGTCCCACCTCCACTTAATGAATAGGAAATATATTTTTTCCTCCTTCCTTGTGATTTTCTTTTTTTTTTTTTTGAGACAGAGTTTCACTCTTGTTACCCAGGCTGGAGTGCAATGGCACGATCTCGGCTTACCACAACCTCCGCCTCCTGGGTTCAGGCAATTCTCCTGCCTCAGCCTCCTGAGTAGCTGGGATTACAGGCACACGCCACCATGCCCAGCTAATTTTTTGTATTTTTAGTAGAGACGGGGTTTCACCATGTTGACCAGGATGGTCTCGATCGGTTGACCTCGTGATCCACCCGCCTCGGCCTCCCAAAGTGCTGGGATTACAGGCTTGAGCCACCGCACCCGGCCCAGTGATTTTCTTAATAACATTTTCTTGGCTGGGCATGGTGGCTCACACCTGTAATCCCAGCACTTTGGGAGGCTAAGGCCAGATTACCTGAGGTCAGGAGTTCAAGACCAGCCTGGCCAACATGGTGCAACCCCATCTCTACTAAAAATACAAAAATTAGCCAGGTATGGTGGCACATGCCTGTAATCCCAGCTCCTTGGGAGGCTGAGCCAGAATCACTTGAACCTGGGAGGCAGAGGTTGCAGTGAGCCGAGATCATGCCATTGCACTCCAGCCTGGGTGACAAGAGGGAAACTTCGTAACAAAACAAAGAACATTTTCTTTTTTCTTTTTTTTGAGACGGAGTCTGGTTCTGTCACCCAGGCTGGAGTGCTCATGCCGGTAATCCCAGCACTTTGGGAGGCCAAGGCAGTGGCACTGCAACCTCTGCATCCTGGATTCTCCAGCCTCAGCCTCCCAAATCTGGCTAATTTTTGTATTTTTAGTAGAGTTGGGGTTTTGCTATGTAGGCCAGGTTGGTCTTGAACTCCTGACCGCAAATGATCTTCCTGCCTTGGCCTCCCAAAGTGCTGGGATTACCGGCATGAGCCACCGCGCCTGGCCAACATTTTCTTTTCTTTAGCTTACATCACTATAAGAATACAAAGGTTTCAAAGTGGTTCTAGATTTCTGCACTTCTGGAAGACAGGAGGCAACGTCACAGGCCTATATAATTCTGAGAGAAAAGTGTTTCCTGCCTAAAATTCTATACTTAACCAAACGTCAAATTCAGTTTGAGGGTCAAATATCTATTTTGACATGCAAGTTCTCAAAACATTTACCTTCTCCACAGCCTTTATTTGAAAGCTATCAGGGATGTGTTTCCCCAAGAAAGAAGGAAGATCAGAAACTCAGAGAACCACGCATAGTGGTGAAGGGAGTTCCCAGGGCAGTGGTGACAGACCCGGGGATGACGGCTGTGTGGCAGGTTGGGGCAGTGCTAGATCAGAGCAGGCCAGACGGTCTGACCTCCTAGCTTTCTTAGGAAGATGAACTGTGAGAAGAACTCATCAAATTTCTTGAAAGTAGTTTTATATACGTGGTCGAGAGTTTAGGGTTCCGTCACTGAGAGGAACACAGAAAACTAAGAACATGGAAAAACATGGTAATTATTAACTCCAGAGGTAAAATGTTTTGAAGAAAAATAAAAGTAATCATAACCAACCATGCCTCACCTGTGAATATATTAGTATAATGAGGCAAATGGTATACAAGGCTTTTGACTGACCCAAATTATGATCTGTATTGGTAAGATGAGACGAAAGTAAAGATGCATGTGGAAGAAGGACAGCAAAAAGGAAAGAATGAAATATTCACTGTAGACAACAACACCTACATCTGCAAAATCAAGAAATAGCAACATAGGTTTAATTAAGAAACATGGAGGAGGCTGAGGCAGGAGAATTGCCTGAACCCAGGAGGCGGAGGTGATCGCGCCATTGCACTCCAGTCTGGGTAACAAGAGCGAAACTCTGTCTCAAAAAAAAAAAAAAAGAAAGAGAAAGAAACATGGAGGGAGATAAAGAGGTTTCTCTGGATAAGAGGCTTGGAGAGGGGGAGGCTACTTGTCAAAAGATGGAGAGATCTGAGTTTTTACCCTACTTACAAGCTAACAAGCTAGCATGCCACACTTCACAGTTTCGTGGATGTTGGTGGAAGACACAGGATTCTTGCATCAAAGGCAAAGATGTTTATTATACACAGTAGTAGTAGAGCATGAACATTTTTGTTCCCTGAATGCCAGTTCTCACAGGGAGATGCAGAGAGGGCCAGCTGAAGCCTGTACAAGTGGGTTACTTTACAGGAGAGGAAGCATGAGCTCCGGGAACCTTAAGTTTTATACTGGGCAGTAAGTGCACGCGCCTTTCACTCCAGAGGAAGGCGCTATCTCTTCCAAGTCTGTTTGCAATATAAAAAATCTTTAAAAGACAGTAAGGGACAGAGCAGGGCAGTCAGTGCCTCACTCACAAGAGGAGCAGCAATGCCAGAGGCCTATAGAGCACGATTCCCATTGCTGCGGTTTTACATAATCAACCTTCTTGACTTTTAAAAGTATCTGCATACATAACTTTCCTAAAAATAAAATCTAAAAAGTTAAATCGTTTCACTTGCTAAAACAACTCTCTCATGCCTTACTCCTCCTGACTGGGCATCACGTCTTTGCCAAAGGAGACCCAGAGTCCGGAGAAACCCGAAAAAGCAACCTCAGCTTTCCTGAATCCTCGTGCAGGGTGAGCTGGTCCGCAGAAAGGGCTGTCCCAAACCCAGCGCACGGCCCTGAGCGGGTTGCCCACGCGGCGCATTGCAGGCAGGTGCGAGCCACGTGCGGTAAGTGCCTGGAGCAGCCCTTTGGCAGTTAAGTTTTGTTACAATTACCCGCAGGTGAGTGGAGCCCCGCTGACAATCTAGAAACAAGCGACAGACCCTCTGATGTACCCAGCTGGCCGCATCTCTCCGCATGGCCCGCTGCGCCTCGGTCCCCGGAGGCCACCCTTGGGGTCAAGGGCTGCTGCTTGGCCGTGCCCGCGGGATCCTCCGGCCTGGCACAGCCCGTGCTGGAGCTGAAGTGCGCGCCTCGGCCCCTTCGCTGCTCCCGCCCCTCTCCAATGCGCACGGGCGCTCGGGGCGCCGTGGGTCAGCGTGGCGCCAAGGGCCCGCGTATGCAGCCAGCCCCTGCCCTGCCTGACGCTTGGACCGCCACTTCCACCTTTGTCGCCCCCTCGGCGGCCTCCGCAGCTTCCCAATGGGCCGGTCTACGGGTCTATCTTTGCCACCGCCAGAGGCCGCGGAGGAGGGGGCCCCCCGCCGCTCAGATCCCGCTTATCGGGCCCATCTCGCGTTATATAAGGCCGCTCCACTATCTCCACGGGCCATCGCCACCTCAACCGCCGCGCCAGCGCCTTCTCCCATGCGCGGGGGCGCTCCTGCCCACCGCTCCTGGCAGGGCTTTTGGTGGCCGTGGGGGGCGTTGACTCACCCGGGCTCTGGGAGTTGGACAGCCCAAGGTGGTTCCCCCATCACAGAGACCCTATGGGATCTCCCATGGGCTCTCTACTACAGATAAGAAAGCTGAGGCCTGTAGAGGGGTCACACAGCCAAGTAATGGCAGTCCAGGCATGGGGGCCTCGAAAGGAAGGGGCAGGCTCTGGGAGTAAGGGCCAGCAGCTGGGCTGGGAAGCTTCGAGTGTGGACAGAGAGAGGGTGAGAGTGATGTTCCTTGTGGGAAGAGAGGGTGGGCAAGGCTGGGGTGCCCGTGAGTGGGCATCCAGCATCCCCTGTGACAAGGGTCACAAGCACACCCTGTGAGGAGCTTGAGCCACCTTGAGGACAAGGACAGAGGGAGGCTGAGCAGGCAAAGAGGGGAGCTGAAAGGGGAGGCGCTGGCTGGGGAAGGAAGTGGGTAAGGGAGAGATCTTGACATCAGCACCCAGCAGGCAAATGCTGTGGCCTCTGTTGTGGGGGTTTCTGGAGGACTTCCAGGAAAATGAGGGAAGAGCAGGAAAAGGCCACATGCCTGCAGGGTGGGCTGCAGGGGCCAGGCCCAGGAGCTGCCCTCCACAGCACTCATTCTGCAGAAGGGAAACTGGAGGCTTCCAGGGGGCAGGGGCTGGTCCTGCAGAGACTGGTGGGCAAACGGGATCACCCCAAGTCCCAGTGGCACTAGGAACACTTAGAATCTCTGACCTGGACTAAGGTTGCCAGCCTGGCCCAGTTAAGAGTTTCCCAGCAGGATGGCCCATGCACTTTAAATTAAAGGGGCAGACACAGGTGCACACTACTCCCAGCCACTCTAGAGGGTGAGGCGGATGGATCCCTGAGTCCAGGAGCTGGAGGCCAGCCTAGGCAGGCAACATAGTGAGACCCCATCTCCAAAAAACTAAGAAACAAATGGAAAACACCAAAAAAGGTCCCAGGAGGACCTCTGAATCTGTCTGGATCTCTCAGTGGAGACCTGGAAATCTGAACTTTGACAATCCTTCTCTCAGTGGGACCAAGGAGGAACTAGGCAAGCCAGAAGAAGTGAACTTCACTCTTCTATTGCCGGCTTGAATGTATCCAAGCAAGTATCACTTAGGTAATTTAAGAGACAGGTTCATTTAAAAAATAAAAACCCCCAAATTCCCACAGCTGGTAGACTGTGGTCACAGTCACAGTGCATGAAGACTATCTGCCCAGCACTTCCGGTGACCCAAAACGGTCTGAGGACAGGAGCTCAGAGTTGGGTCGGCTGTCACGTTCTCAGGGTGGTCCCAGGCAAAACTGCTGGAACTCAGGCCAGCATTGCAGATGCCATGCTGCTCTCAGGGCCCCTTGTCTTTCCCCGGAATTAAACCCACCCAGATCTTGGAAACTCTGCCCTGGACCCTTCTCAATAAGTCCACGAGAAATCACTTTCCTTTATGCGACACTGGATTTTCCACAAAGCAAAATCAAGATCAGTAAAGATGTGGTTTCTAGATAGTGCCTAAAATGCAGAGACCGGGCTATGAGGCGTCACCACTGGGCCTATAAAAGCTGCCACAAGAGGCCAAGGCCACAAGCCACCCAGCTTAGACCAGCCTGTGCGTCTGCTCCTCAATCCTCCCTTGTTGGCACTGGGCCTCATGGCGCTTTGGTTGACCATGGTCATTGCTCTCACTTGCCTCGGCGGCCTTGCCTCCCCAGGCCCCGTGCCTCCCTATACAGCCCTCAAGGAGCTCATTGAAGAGCTGGTCAACATCACCCAGAACCAGAAGGTGAGTGTCGGCCAGCCAGGGTCCTAGCTATGAAGACTCCAGGGTGGGTGGTTCCCAAGACGGTCATGAGCAGGCTGGGCCTGGTCCTAAGATGCCTGTAGGTCAGGAAGAATAACCATGGACCAGGACCCAGCCCAGCCATGGGGGAGAGAGGAGGTGGGCTGGGGGTTTAGCACTATGGATGGACCTATGAAGGGGTTTGGCAGAGTCTTGAGGGACCACCTGTTCTGGCCTGGCCCTGCCTCCCACTGCCAGCTCCTCCTCAGCCATTCCTGAACAGAGGACAGCAGAGAAGGGCCAGCACCCTCCCAGAACCATGTGGCATTTGCCAACTGGATTTTGAAGCCATGTTCCCCAGCACTGTAGTAGGCTCGCTCTTATGGGAGGATCCTTTAGGAGAGTCCGCGCCTTGCCCCACTGGTAACAGCTCACATGTCTGAGCATTGCTTACACCAGGCCTGGTGCAAATGCTTTACATGTCATTTCAGCACCACCAGCCACCTCAAGAGGGAGGTACAATGAACCCATTCTGCTAAGGTGCAGTGAGGTTAAGTGACAGAGGCTGGATTCAAGCCAGGCCCGGCCAACACCAGAGTGCCTATGCTCCTAACTGCAGAAGGCAGGGCACTCAATGTAACAGACCCCTACCACCTCCCATCTGATTTGTCTTGGTCCACAGTGGCCCAGGCCACCCCTACTTCACTCATCCCCACCCTGGCCCTTCCCACAGGCCCCTGTCCTCCTGCCCTGGCTATGGCAAGCCTTGCATGCAGCTTGTCCCTTACTAGTGGTGTCACTCTTTTTTTTCTCTCAGCTCCAAGACCCTATACAATGGGTCCCTGTCCCCACTCCCACTGTTCAAAGCAGAAAACGAAGCTCAGGAACGCTGAGGGGCTGCCAGGCCTGCCTCTGCGCCACACCAGGGATGCGTGTGGGGCCTGAGCTGGTGTAGACTTGGCCCGGGCTGCCGGGGCAGGCCCATGACCCCTGCCAGCACTCTGCTCACTGTCACTTTCCTCCCGCAGGCCCCCCTCTGCAATGGCAGCATGGTGTGGAGCATCAACATGACAGCTGGCGTGGTAAGGACCCTTGGGTGCTGGGGAGGATGGGGCAGAGGCTTCAAGCCTTGGGCTTATCCTCTCTGAGCCTCCCTCCCATGGCTGGGGGTTCCACTGAAGCTTCAATTGCTCTCCTCCCTTCCCCCATAATCTAGGCCCTTCCCACCACCCAGACTCACCTGCACCAGGCATATCAGCCTCATCTTCCTGCAGACTCACAAAAGGTAGCCACTCAAGCAGGCCCTGACCCCTCGGTGTCCCCTTCCCACAGTACTGTGCAGCCCTGGAATCCCTGATCAATGTGTCAGGGTGCAGTGCCATCGAGAAGACCCAGAGGATGCTGAGCGGATTCTGCCCACACAAGGTCTCAGCCGGGGTAAGGTTCCTCCCAACCTCTCACCCCCAACATGGACCCCCTCCTGCCAACCCTGGCCTCACCCAGGGGAAGCTGGCTGAACATCCAAGGTGTGTGTCCACTCAGGGGTGGGGCCATTGAGGCCGCAGGGACATGGCTTTGGAATTTACAGAACCTGGGCTCAAGGGCCCCTGACGCCTACCTGGGCCTCAATTTCCACATCTGTACAATAGAGGTACTAACAGTATCCACCTCCTGGGGACTTCCTCGAGGACTGAATGAGACAGTCCCTGGAAAGCCCCTAGTTTGTGCGGGTCATCCTGGTCTCTGGCATCTCACTCATGCACTGACCTCTTTGTCCTGTAGCAGTTTTCCAGCTTGCTTGTCCGAGACACCAAAATCGAAGTGGCCCAGTTTGTAAAGGACCTGCTCAGACATTTAAGGAAACTTTTTCACCAGGGAACGTTCAACTGAAACATCAACGCATCATTATTTGCAGAGACAGAACCTGACTATTGAAGTTGCAGATCCATTTTTCTTTCTGATGTCAAATGTCTTGGGAGGTGGGGAGGAGGGTTAGGGAGGGGGTGAAATTCCTTAGCTTAGATCTCAGCCTGTGCTGCCTGTCTTCAGCCTTGCCGACCCCAGGCTGCCCCTTGCCCAGGGCTCAGCCTGGTGGGCCTCTGTCCAGGGCCCTGAGCTCAGTGGGCCTGGGGATGATGTTTCCCTACACCCTCCCCTTCCCTAGAGCACACTGCAGCATTACAGTGGGTCCCCCCTTGCCAGACATGTGGTAAGAGAGGGACCCACTTCACACAGAGGCAACTGAGGCAGCCAGCAGCTCAGGCACATTTCTTCTTGGTCTTATTTATTATTGTGTGTTATTTAAATGAGTGTGTCTGCGTTGGAGATCGGGAGACTGTGGCTGTTGGCACTTGAAACCGAACTAGGGTTCAGAGACTCGGGGCCCAGCACTAAAGCAGTGGGCACCAGGAGTCCCTGGTAATAAGTACTGTGTACAGAATTCTGCTACCTCACTGGGGTCCCGGGGCCTCATCCGAGGCAGGGTCAGAAGAGGCAGGGGAACAGCCACTCCTGTCTGCCAGCCAGCAGCCAGCTCTCAGCCAACGAGTAATTTATTGTTTTTCCTCGTATTTAAATATTACATATGTTAGCAGAGTGAATAATATATAAAAGGGTACCTTGAACACCCAGGGTGAGGTGTGTACACTAGGGGGAGGGGACATCGAACAAGTTGTTTCATTGACTATCAAACTGAAGCCAGAAATAAAGTTGGTGACAAAGAGGCCCGATTGTATTTGTTTTTCATTTTGGCCTTTGGGGACGATGGTCTGTGGTCTCAAGACTCTGAGGAGCTCTTCAGGAGGCTGGCAGGTTGGAGGAGAGGACTTGGATAGATTTCAGAGGGGATGGGGTGTAGTGACCTGGGCTGAGAGCAGAGCTAGCTCCTGGTGGTGGGGACGTGGCCTGGAGGAAGCGCCACCTCTGTCTGCTGTGCCAGTGAGGACAGGGAGGCTTGGGCAGGCTGTCAGGGTTCAAGGAGGGCATCAGGAGCAGGTGGGGACCCAGGAAGTCTCATGATCACAGCTCCTGAGGACTGGCCAGCTGTGTCTGGCACCACCCACACATTCATGTCTCCCTCACAACCTGGGAGGCCAATGAGGACTGTGAGTCTCAGAGAGCGTGGGCGGTTGCCTAAGGTCACGTCGCTTCTTCCTCACTGGGGTCCTGGGGCCTCAGAGCCTCATCTGAGGTAAAGGAGCCATGCTGAGATTATGACCCAAAACTGGCTCCAACTCCAAAGCCCACACACTTAACCACACTGCCTATTTCTGTCCAAATGTTCCCTGGCCTGAATGCAGTTTTTCCCTCTGTAAGACTGTCATCAACTGTCCGGGCCTTCTCACTGACGGGGAGCTCACTACCTATTTTTGAGGGGCAGCCCACTGCATTTCTGGACAGCTCTCACCATTAGGGTGCACACTGGTGCTGCCTCTGTGAACACGGCTCTGACTAGGCCACTCCTCAGCAGTTCTTGTTGCCTCCCCTTGGCCCTGGACAGCAGCTGGAGTGCAGGGACCAGTGGGCCTTACCAAGCCACAGTTCCAGGCCATGCCCATCAGCAACGCTTTCCACTGTGACTCTCTGGGAGATGCCCAGGGCAGAGGGTGACTCCAGGATGGGATGCCTTTGCAGTGGGTGGTGGGTCAGCAGGGACCAGTCTCAAACTTGGAATGACAGGCAGGCACCCTCCCTGGGGAGCCCAGAGCCCCATGGGAACACCACAGTGATGCTCAGAAGTCCCTGAAGGCAGCTGCCCTCCACTGTTCATGGCTGTGTCATTCACGTAACAGCAGAGGACATGGCAGGGAGTTGGCCAAGGGGCCAAAGACGGCGGCCAGCTACTCCAGAACCACTCACTTTCCCCAGGGAGAGGCAAGGGAAGAAGGTGAACCCAACAGTGCAGGGGGCAGGGGACACTTGGCCCAAAGAAGAGAAGACTCTGGCGGTGAAGAGGGTGGTGGGACAGGACTGGCTCTCTGGTGCCAAGCCTATGAAGTCCCACCACATTTGCTGAGGGAATACCTGCGGGGGCCACTGCAGCAGACACCTGGGCTAGTGACAACCAAGATACCACATGCTCTCAAGGGCTAGCCCCAGAAAGAACTCTGTAGAAACAACAGAGGGTCTGTGTGTAGCGGGGCTGGGGGTTGTTTGTCGTCCCTCGGGAGGGCCTCCCTCTGGAGGTGAGCAGTGGCTGGCCTCCATGGAGGGCAGGACAGTCTCGGAAGCCAGGGAAGGTGGTGGGAGTTGGGTCTTTCTTCTCCAACCAGGGCCTAGGGTTGAAGCTGAAAGAATATTTATAGAGAGTATGACTTTGTCAACAGGACCCAGCAGTCCATCCCCTAGTAGCATCATCTTTGACCCATGTCCTCTCTGTCCAACTAAAGCATTGCCCTGCCTATCTAGAAAGAAGATGGAAACCCTTCCAGTGGAATTCCACGTGACTCCCTCGAAAACAAAGACTGGAATTGAGGCTGATGTGGGGCAGGGTTCCTCAGGATCCTCCAAGGCCGGGCTCTGAGTCACACATTCAGGACCGCCTTCGAGGCAGGTGCACAGTGCGGATGGCCGTCCCGGGCCCCGCCACTAGGGGTCTGCAGCTCACCACATCCTCAGCCACTCCACAGCTCCTGTCCCTCACACCTTCCAGGCTGCCCCCCAGGTAGGGGACCTGTGGTCATTGGCAGTGTACCTTGAGTTGGAGAGGGTGTGGGGCCCTCCAGGGATGAGGGACGCCTCACAGAGTCACAGAACTGAGCTGCAGCTGGTGGCCACAGGGAGGGGACCCAGTCAGGAATGAGAAAGGAAGAGAGAACAAGGTAGGGTTAAGTGTCAGCGACTGTGACAGTGGCTGGGAACCTGGCTCCCTGGAGACTGACCCCGGCAGAGTTTGCTGGGACTTTTCTCTAACCACGTGGCCTGAGTTCTTTCATCCACAAGGCAAGCCCTTAGCAGGGCTCAGAGAGACGGGGGTTGAGAAGGGAGAAGAATGCTGGGTGAGTGGGAGGAAGACGCTGGCCATGGGGCCCAGGGCGGGGAGCCCCTTGGCACCCCGGGAACCCCAGCCCAGGAGGTTTCACTGGAAGAGGGGCTGGGGCTCGAGTGAGAAGTGAGACACACACAAGTTTCCGGTGAACTCGCACCAAACACCTCAGTTTGCTGCTCAAATGAGGTGTCAGAAAACGTTCCCAGTCATTTGGCAGGTTTCTCTGAGGCTGGCCCCGTCCTGCGCAGGGCAAGGAGCGGGCCCTAGGAGGACCAGGCCAGAATCTTATTTCCTTGTGACCGGGACAGCACTTGAAGCCTGGCCTTCCCCTGGCCCAGAGGCTTATCACTTTTTCATTATGGTCAAAGGGAAGTGTCTTCCGTTTATGACCATCTAACTGGCCCATTGTAACACACTCCAAACCTGTCCCCAGAAGAAGGCCAGGCTGGGGCAGCCTGACTACGTTCTAGACAGGACAGCCTGGCTGGGGACATGCTGGCTGGCTCCTATTTAGCCTTTCTAGGGGTCCAAGCTGGGGTCAGAACTGCTGGCTGTCTCCACAGCTGTCCTCCCACACTCATAGAGCCCCATTATCTTCATTCAGTTCTCAGCTCCACCCAAAAGCAAGAGGGTAAGGGTTTGCAACAAACTTTCCCAGATCAACTGATTTCTCGGCAGCAAGGGAGGGCCCCATGACAAAGCCATTTGAAATCCCAGAAGCAATTTTCTACTTACGACCTCATTTTCTGTTGCTGTCTCTCCCTTCCCCTCCACAGTACCATTTCTTGTGGAAAGTGATTCGCTCACAGCATCGTTCAGAAACACCCTCAGCCACGTGCTGTGTGCCTGGGCAGATGCTGTTGTGTGGTCAGAGGTGACTCAGGCACCAAAATTAAATACAGCAACTCTCATCAGCTCTGCTCTCTGCATGACTATGGACAAGTGTGTGGGGGCTGGACACCATTTCCCCAACCTCTCAGTCAGCCATGGTGTCCCCTGGAGACCTGCAGCCCGGTGGCCTGTTGACCACACTGTCCACGACTCCCTCCCCAGACCACAGCCCTGGGCCAGCTGTGGTGATGCCACATTGGAAAAAGCAATTTTTATTTACTCTTCTTTCTTCTGATCTGTTTCACGTATTTTCTATAATTAGCATGCATTCATTTTTCCAATGGGAGACTAAGATAAATTTCATTTTAAAAAAAGCAAAAAGAACATGAATGTGATGTCTGCTCCATGGAGGGAGCAGACTGAGACAGGCCGGTGAGGAGGCTGGGCTGCGGTATCCTCCGGCCGGACCAGCACTAGTACCCCTCAGACCAGCCTAAGTCCTCCCCAGGGAGCCAGCCCTCTTGGGCGAGAAGCAGGGTCTGCAAGGGACTGCAAGGCAGCCCCTCAGCCAGGCAGGCTCCTCCCACAGGCTGGGTGCTCTTGGACCCATCAGATCCTGCACTGCCAAATACAGGAAGGTGCTGTCTTCTTGGAGGCCTTCGCCAGGCCCTGGCCTGCCAGGGTACAGGAGCCAGTGGGAGTGGGAAGGGAAAGGGTGGGCCGCCTGTCTAGTTCTGAGGCTAAAGTGACATCCACACTATGGAGACAGATGGAGCATTCCTGCAGCCTCCTCAGCAGCTCTGCCTCTCTTAGGAGAAGGACCTTCCACCTGCTTCTGAAAGGCAAGAGAAGCCAGCAGGCTGCAGAGCCGCTTCCCCACAGCTCCACAAAGCCGGAGTCTACACCGCTGCCTGCCTGCAGCAGCTCCCTCTGCCCTCGGTTCCTGTGCCCTTGGATGGCGCCCTCCATGGGTCTGTGCTCTGGGTCCCATTCCCTCCCCTCTCAGGAACACAGGCAGAACATACAGCTGGGGGCTCAGGGTGAAACCACCCCTACCTTCAAGCCCCAGCTGTGTCCCTGACTTCTAGTGTTGTTACTTCAGCCTAGTCTTGTTGGCGCCATGGAAATGGAGCTCCACTCATTCATTCAGCAAGTATGGATTGATGCCTTGCCTCAGTGCCCCTAACCAAAACAAGGTTGCTTCTAGCAGGGAGACAGAGTAAGCCAACAAGAGAACACCCAGTGTGTCGAATGGTGGTGACCACTACCAAGGGCAAGAGCAATTGGGGCTGCAGAGCAGGGAGGGCGCTGTGTTATGTGGGAGGTTGGAGAAATCCTCGCCTTGAGAACAGAGATCTGGATGAAACAAGGGGAGTTGACAGCCACACACAGATGGGGGCAAAGTTATCCAGGCAAAGGGAACTGCAGGTGCTAAGGTCTTGAGCAAGAGCAAGCTGGGGATGCCCTTCTCAGCACTCATGGGTGGCCAGCGGCAAGGGCAGCAGGAGCCCGGTAGGGCCTCAGAGGCCAGGACTGGGCTTCACCCTATGTGGGATGGAGTAATGTGGTCTGGCTCACATTTTAACAAAGTCACTGTGGCTGCTGTGAGGAGAACAAAACGTAGGGGCAAGGATGGAGCAGCAAGATGAGCCTGGAGGCTCCTGTAGAGATGCTAGTGGAGAGCGATGGTGTGTGGGGCAGTGGAGGGGAGAGAGGGAGTGTGTGAAAGAGATACGTACACATTATACGGGTATTGTATATATCATTTACTTAAACAGATTATATACTCTATAAAGTATATAAATCTATAATACACAAATGTGCATATATTATATGTTAACGTTATTTAAATTTGCTACACAACTACATTTTTAAAATCTTCTGTAATAGAAAATTTCAAATAT